GATGTTCCACATGCAGAAACTGAATATATGTCAAGACATGTGACAGTTCGAATGTTGGAAAACAACACAAAGTCATTTACATAAAGATGTTTTTAAAATTCCCAGAAAAGTATTCCAGATGAATAGCAAATTAAATATTATTGACATTGTAATGTATATTTTTGCAATTTTWTATTGAATATTCTTGCAAAGAAATTAAAAATCAGATACATGCAATTGACTTTATTGTTGTCTTTATGTCTTTACAACTGAACAACGTCAAGTCAACAATATCAATGGACTTTACATCCGAGATCGCTAAAGTGAAACATTGTCCCAGCTGCAGATTGTCCTGCACATGGACGATGTGTCTCAGTTTAATCATCTCAAGTTTTCTATACTAGAATAGATGATAAAAAGGTTTCTTAATAGATAATAACAAACAGTTCAAGTCATTTTTGTGTGTGTAAAAAAAGTGCGGTTTGAAAGACGATCGAAGTGGTTCTATTTCAATTTTTACCTACCTGTCAAAAACAAACGGGTGAATAATACTAGTATYATTACGGGGATTACAGTCATTTCATCAAATGGAAAACTYTTCAACTGCTTCTGAGTAAAAAGAGATGCAAATTTTCCAATGTTTTTACAGGTTTTCGCTGGAATGATTCCATACGTCGTTGTTCTCGCTGCTCAGTTTTCGGTTTGTCGGTCAACTAGCGACTTTCTACCAACGATATTATTGTACATACGAAAACGAGGTTCTTGCATTTTAATTAAGCGGAAGTGAAATAATTTACACAAACAGAATCTTTTAGAACAATTGAAAAACATCAATAAAATGCATTTAAAATTTCTTTACGAACAAATAAAATGTAATTATTCACAAAGAAGTGGCTCAGAAGTATGGCTCGCCATCCTGTTATAGGTTAATTCAAATCGGATTTTTATCATTCAGACGACTGTTGTAAACCTAAGTTCAGTAAAATCATGTTGTCTTAAAATATTGTTTACTTTATTGTTGAAAGTCCATTCGGGTACGGCCTCGTGGACTATCAGTTCGTAGTCCACTCGACCTCGTGGTCTAATTGTTAAATATAAACAAACTCTGGCAAAATCGATAATACGTCGTTTTCCCTCTCATTTCCCGTTTCAGAGTAAGTTCATCTACCAATGTCCAACACTGATTTAGACAAACTTTTACGCTGAGACGTTAATGATTAACAAGTAAAGGAGTTTTGACTTARTATTTTTCATGGAAGTTTCGACTGTTTAAATCTCCCTTGTTTGTTGTCGGGAGCGAAAACACGACTCAATTCGTATATATAAACTTATTTATGATTGGCTAAAATTAGCTAGGTATATTTAACAATTAGATCTAATTGTTTTAGTATTACCATACCAGTTGGACAAAAAATGAATCAAATGTATAAATAACTAAATCTTTTTATTGCTAAAAATACACAAAAAGTTGTCGCTTTTCGCTAGTCGAGGAATATTGAAAATAGACCCCGAGTAGCGTAGCCAATCAGAACGAAGGATTTGCAATAGTCCACTAGTATGGTAATACTAAAACGAGATATATGATTGGAAGTTTGAATTCTTCAAACTCAAAGAACAGACAATAGGTAGCTGGCGGAGAAAACTAGGGAGAGGCGTAAACTATTATTAACTTACAGTCTTGTCTTTCTTTGGCATACACATTTATGTCCAGCGGTAGACCAGAGGCTACTTCATAGGACATGCGCACTGGGTTGCCTCCATTGTATTTATTTGCCCTCATGACAGTGGAGTGCCAGTCAATCCAATAGATAAACTCCCCAAAGACCGTCAAAGCAAGTGCAGGTCGAATACTGCTGGTTATCGTCTGTCGATTGGTGCCGTTCAGATATGCAGATTGAATTCTGAGATATGATTGGTTGAATAATTAATTATCTGATTGGATAATTTGAATAGGCGACGCCATTTTGTGCAGCAAAGCATGATGTCGCTTATAGTCCTCATAATTTGATGTTACTTTTAGTCCACTAAAGCAGTCCTTCTGAAATGTTTTTTTCTTTTTCTAAGCCAAAACAGATGTTGCTTTGCCGTTTCTAAACAGAAAGCGTAAAAACGGTTTTTAAAGGAATATTTTAGGGTCTGTAATAAGAGCGAGGACTACAACTACCATCATGCTTTGCTTCACAAAATGTCGTCGCTGCACATTGCTTATTAAAGAATGACGGTTTTAGTGTTAGCACACTACTTGTCTCATAGTACGCTGACATCTCAATTCCTTGCACCCTAACTGAATGATTGATTGATAAACTTCATTTATGCTTCGGTGTCATTACTATACTAGCTAATACAGCAGATCAAAACTTACATTCTCTCATCAGTCCAGTAGATCTTTTCCTCCATGTAATCGATGGTAAGTCCATATGGATAAACAAGACTCCCAGTAATAAGATCACTTACAAACATACCATTAAACCAGGCTGACTTGATACAAGGCCTACGTCCCCATTCTATCCAGTAGATCTTCCTATTGTATATGACAGATCAAAGATTTAATCATAGGCTATCATTATGGTCTGCTAATGACGTCATGTATATTTGGCGAAGTGCATCATGGTATCGATGAAAATATCAAGATGGCGGAATTTTTGTAGAAACTACGGGGGTGACCTTTCTTTACAAAATTAACGTTAATGCTTTGGAAGAGCATTTACTGAGATCTCTACACACTAAGAAGTACGTTTTAAAGAATAACTATCTGGGAAATAGGCGATACAGGTTGATCGCAAAATAGCCAGCCAGAAATATCATTCAAAAGCAACATGCGTCAGTTTGTGGCTTTGTCGACCCCATGGTGCATCTCGTCAACATCATTAGGAGTACGAATTACTGTACAGGGACCGCGGAGAAGGGGAGCAGGGGAGACCCGCTATTTTTTTCTATGTTATTCTCCTATGTTCTCCTAACTCTTGAACTCAGTCCCACCCTTATATGTAAATAAACTTACTTTTCACAAGGTATGATAGCAAGCGCTCTTGGATGGTTTATGCCTTGTTTTAATGCAACCTTGAACGATGAGCCATTAAAATGAACTCTATTGATAGTACTGAAGGCTATCTCGGTCCAATACACGTGTTTTGCTACCCAGTCGACTGCAATCCCTCCTGGGTTTATCACATCTGTAGAAAACAATGTATATTTTATTAAGGTTTTGTCCACACGATGACTATTTGCAACCSTGCCAGAAGCARCCTARTGAMAACACAATAGACCWCTCCACGTCTTGGGCAGTGTTGTYCCATTTCAACACCTTTATCCTCGGAATCCCCGGTGTTTTGAATAGGCACCGGGAGAGATTCGGGTGAGCGGAAAGTCCCTTGCTTTTGTACTTYCAGCCTYCACCCAGCWGCCCCTGAGCTTTCAAGGATTAAACCAAATGAATATGGATGGCAGTAAAACAAAGAATTTCMTCCCAAGGCGYCTGAATGGAACAYTRCCCAGRCCGAGRARTTCTATCCATGAAACWCAAAGTATTACCTAATGTGACRTTCCTTAAACCRCTTCCATCGATCTTCACGGCTTTGATWGCAGGGGGAGAAGTAAAAAAGATYGTTTCGCTATCGAAATCAAAGTCCAATTGTCGGCGCATGACKGGTGTCACGTCTGTGATTTCTTTTTGAGAAGATGTCTTCCCTGGAACCAACGAGTTAAACTTGATTTCGGTAGTTTTTGCCAGGATGATAAAGTTCGATGTAGAAAGACACGATCGCTTATCAGAAGAAAGACTTCCCAAGGAACACGCACACCTGAGAAATAAAACACACGGTCATTGTTTAACTGTGGCCTTCCAACCCAATGCCGAGGAATACGAGATTTTTTCTTTTCAATTTTAGCTTTAGTGTTTCTCGTTTTGTTTCTCGATATGTTGCCAGGGCTTAGGCAAGGTGCCAAAGAGAAAGATCGAATCCGAACAACAACGTTACGGAGCAAAAACAACACTTTTGATCAGTCAAAGTATACTTTGAATGAATCTTTTGTTCGCTTGAATCTTAAAAAAAAGAAACGAAAAGAAAAGAAAAAAAGAAAAAAGAGAAAAAAAGAGAACTAGCTGGTAAGGGATCACTGTCGGCGGTGGCTTTTTCATGTCAAAGCCAAAACGTTCTAGAGTCGTTCCAATTAGTTTATCACAAACCTTTTTCGTTTGCTGCTGATAGCCAAACACAAATCTGCACAGCCACCGTTTGCCTCGCATACTCCACCGGTTGACTGACGCTCTGAACTAAACACTTGAACATCCCTTGGTTTGGTTAGCAAGGTTTTCTGCTTGATATTTGTTCCGTTGGTCTTGTAGGCGCTTTGTATGATGTTCTTATTTCGATCAGCCCAATAAAGCAACTCACCAAAAACAGACAGCCCAAGTGGCTGCTTAAGCCTGCTGACAAGTTTCTTCTGGTTTCCTGTGTTGAAAAAGGAACTACCGATAAAAACAAGTGTGTTTGAAGCAATTTTCTTACGTTAATCGGAACTTTTAAATACGTATCATGAAGGGACAGCAATCTATTTTTATCATAGACAGCATCTTCCTCCACAGGTACCATTGGGGTTGAAATTCAACCATCACGGAAACTAGCAAAAGCACACTTCCAACCCTTCAGTTAGTGTTAGGGCTAGTTACTCACCCCCATTAAGGTCCATATTCCAAATGCTATCCCTGCGTAAGTCAACCCAGTAAACGATATCTTGGTCATAATCAATTGTGAGTCCAGATGGCCTTCTTATCTTTGATCCCCACACCAAGACTTGGCGGAAAGACCCATCCATAGACGACCTTTCAATGCGGGGTGGTGACCAGTCCGACCAGTACAGTAGTCCTCTTCCTGGATGAACTACGATCGATCGTGGCTCTGAAAGACCTGATGAGATGATCACGTGACGGCTGGACCCATTCAGCCGACTTACCTTGAATGAACAAACAGTTGTCAGCACGTTGAGAAATAGAGGACATTTTGAAGGACTGTGCAAAGAAGAATCTCATGAAAATTTAAAAGGTTGAATAACACTATTTCACAAATGTCTTTCCCCCATCCTTAACGAACTCAAGAAATCCACTCAAAAGAAGTTTCTCATCAAACCTTTGCCTATCAAGCGCTTACCTCAATAAGGTCTGTCCCTGAGTCAGTCCAGTATAGGTTCATTCCAACCCAATCCACTGCGATYCCCTGTGGYCGTCTCAGCCCAGTGCTTATGATTATCATCTTCCTTGTGCCATCCCTATTAACTCGACCAATATTTCGTTTTCGGTCATCGCTATAAAAGATCCAGCTTGAGTTATAGAAAAAGTCGATGGAGTTGATGTTGCTCATTCCTGCAATAGGGTTCATAGCAGAAGTGCTATCCTTGAAGTCAATGGAAGTTCCGTAAATTGCTGAAAATAAAAGACCCACCTTTATGACTATCTTAAGATTAGACTTTCACGTCACATACTTGATTTGCAATGATTTGTGGGTTGGCTTTCCAAGAAATCCGCCATGTTTTGGCCCAAACAACGGTATATGTCGTAAGAGCTTCATCGGTTTATTATACTTTAGCCTGCATTGGATTTGCTTGTAATCCTACTTATTTCATCCAATTTAATAAAGCTAAGGTTCATTTGGTTAAAAACTCAGCCAAAAAGGATGCCAGTCAAAATGATTGCAAGATGGAGAACAAAGAGTAGTTCGTTCGCTTTCTACAACAAAATTTAATTTAATCCTCACATTATCCAAAGCCAGCCTAAACTTTTAGAGACCCATTTTTGAGAGAAACAAGGCACAACAGTTTACACAAAGCTAAGACAAAAACCGCTTTGCCAGAGTATTTGAGTGGACTTAACGAGGTGTTGGGACTATTTCTACCATTATGCTTTGGTGAAGGAAATGGCGTCACTGCACAATGTCTCCGTCATGTTGTTATCTTTTTATTATATCGCGTAGTAAATCACAGCTTATGACTTTAGCAATTGATTTCTTAAGCTTTTACGTCGCCTACGTACATTGTGGATCAGTCTCCGGAGAAACAAAAGAAATCCGCCATGTTTTGTCCCAAACATATCCTACAATGCATTGCATATACAGTATATGACGTAAAAGCTTCAGAGATCGATTATTTCACAAGTAAACGAAAAGCATTTTACCTTTCGACGTTGCATAAAGTAAGAAGTTGTTAATTGCATCGCACGATGTTTGGTCCTTTCCAAGACTGAAACCCATAGAGCATGCGCACCGTCTAGAATTGGAGTTCTTCATGAGACAAAGCTGTTCACAACCTCCGTTATTTTGTTTACAAAGGTTAGCACCTTCAAAGATACAAACCACGTCATTAGAAACAGTCCGACAAGAACTTAACGCAGCCAAGGAAAACTCTAGTTTCGGGATTAATGCCTTAGTTATCTCTTGAAAACATTAAAAAAATCAATGAAACCCGTGCGGTAAAAAAGACATACTGTCTTTTCAAGACTTGAAGATTTTATAACATCCAACTGGAAAGAGATGTATTGATCGACGAACAGAAAAGTATTGCATGATAAGACATTCAACCACAACATGGAAAAAGGATAAAAACAGCGCCAACGCTGCATGAAAGTAACAAAAGAAGATAAGCAAATCAAAACAACGGAACGAAAACATTCACAAAGAAACAATTATTCGAAGAGCAATTACAAACACTTACTAAAAAACAAAGCACCGTCAACAGATTCCTCACCCCAGTGAAGAAAAACAGAACCAAAAAAAGAAAAAACATTACAAAACGAAACGAAACGAAAAACAAAACAAAAGGAAACGGAACTAAACGAAACGAAATAAAACAAAACGAATCAACAAACGTTTGACAATTTTATGATATAACATACCGATCTGTCTTCTCGAAGAGTATACTTCCACACAATAAACATATTGCAGGCCTTCTCTATGTACTTGGATATCTTCTTTTCTCCCACCAAATTTTGAAGCAGAGAAAATCCCTTTTTTAATCCAATCGCTCCAATACAAGGTATTTTCAAACAGAGATATTCCAAAAGTGTGCCGCAACATATCTTTATCGCGGTAAAGTTTTCTCCTAAAAAAATCGTCAGTAATATACAATACTATGAAACACTTGTGAAATGAAAGACAATTGAATGAATTATTTCTAGACCCGTGAAACATTCTGACCTGATAAAACATATTGCATACATCTCATAGCTTTAATATTTCTTAAAGGTCCACGTGTATCCAAGAACCTTTGCGCGATTGTCATCACAAGAGAAAATTTGAATAAGAAACGATTACAAAGATTCTTGGATACACGTGGTTCTTTAATAAGATCATACACACAAACTAATTTTTTCTTTGCAATATATCCTTAACGCTAAAACTATTGAATACTTTTGGACATTTTCTCCGGCTTCCAAGCTGAAAAAAAATGGTTCTGGTTTCGTTAAAAGTCTTGATGCTCAATTTTGCTCATCAGATGCATCTCTAAGTACAGACTTGCGCATTCTAAACTGGTTTAAACCAGTACTAAACCAGTTAATATGCATATAATTTTTCTATATTCAATTTTGTAAAGCGCATCAGAACCTGGTGGATATTTTGCGCTATATAAATACTATTTATTATTATTATTATATAATTATCCACAACAATTTTGCCCATGAGATGCATCTGTAAGTACAGACTCGCGCATTCTAAACTGGTTTAAACCAGTACTAAACCTGTTAATATGCATATAATTAACCACAGCAATTTTGGCAATCAGATGCATCTCTAAGTACAGACTTGCGCATTATAAACTGGTTTAAACCAGTACTAAACAAGTTAATATGCATGTAATTATC